GCCGCCCACCGCGCCGACGGCGCCCTCCGCTCCGGGCGTCTGTCCTCTTGAGCTCCTTCGTCCTTCCCTACCCCGCCCCCGCGACTGTCTCTCCAGTCTATCCTTTTCCTCCCTTGCTTTTTCTATTTCTCCTTTCCGCCACCTGGTCCCTTCCTTTCCATTGCTTTGCCCTTCTGATTTCTCTTTTTCCTAGTTGTCTTAACCATTCCTTCCACCTGCCCCTTTGACTCACTTCCAGAGGTGGAGCACTTGTTACAGCGGGGACCCTGCTGGCTCTGGTAGCAGGCCTGTGGTTAACTGAGAAACTGAGTTTTTAAGGCGAGACTAGCATTTGGTCCCTGGATAGGCAGTTTCCTTTGCCTAAACTGTTCTTGACTAGGCACATATCTGGTTTTGTGAACTGCAGCAATTTGACCTCTGTAAGGGTGGGAAGATGAAAGAGAATCTAACAGCGAAGGGTTAGACTGCACCTTCTAACTGGAGTATGCCTGGTCCTGGCCCCAGGACGGAGTGGCCCAGCCCAGAAGTGGTTCATCTTGTGCCCTTTGGAACAGGAGTGGTTTTCTGAGATGGAATTGCTTGGGTGTCTCCTGGAACCATATGCTTGCTCCTCTGCCAGGAGGACCAAATCTGGATGCTGTTGGAGACAAGACTTCAGCCTTAAATAAAGAGTGAGATAGTCCAGAGTGGTCTTATGAGCAGTGATCAGCTACCCTTGATTAGTTGCTGCACTGGTTTCTTTATATTTCCCTTTTTGCAAACAATTTACAAACATTTTGAGCCTTTGCAGTGGGTGCTGAGAAGACAGTTGTTGCCCAGAAATCAGGGAAGTGATGCACCTGTCGTGCTTCTGTATAGTGTTAGGGATCCAGCCTGAAAAAGTTGCAGGGCCCCACACAGGTATGGGGGTGAGATAGTGTGTTAGATCAGAACTTCAAAACCAGAGAGGAGTGGAGGGGCATGCATGTGGCCTCAGGATGGAGCACAGGCATGTTGAAAGGGAGCTGTGGCAGGGTCTTCAGAGTACCTTGAATGCAGGGTTTGGGCCTTGCTTTATAGTCAGGGTTTGGAAAAAGAAATGCTCACTTCTGCATTGAGTGTTACAGACTCCCATCTTCTTTCTTCCAAAGCAGACACATGAAATTCAGAAAAGTTGAATAATCAGGCTCTTGTCTCCAACTTAAAAGTTTTTCATTGTTCCACAGCTGTGATTCCTTCCCATCTCTTGGGACTTCCCTAGAAACTCCTTTCTCTCCTCTCAGGTGCTTAAATAGAACCAAGCTAGATAATATGCTAAGTGAGACTTGAGACAAACTAGCAAAGCTACCTATCCCTATCTTTTGCCCCAAAGGTTTTCCTTTGACTTCTAGAGTTAGAAGACCTGTGTGGTATCACCTCAGCAACTGTAAACCCAGCCCAAAGGGTCTCAGTGAGTGCCCTTGCATTTTTTCTTTATGTCCCAGGGAATGTGTATCAGTGAGACAGTTGAAGATGGCAGAGATTCAGGTTTATTAAGCAACCCTGGGATCCAGGAACTCCTCATACTAGCCCAGGGGCACTGAGGCAGCCTGAATGATCTTCAAGTATATCAGTGACATTCTCATGAATATTTAGGGTATGTGTTTGTTGAGGGTTGGTGGGGGTAGTAGGTGAGTAATGAAGTCTAGAAGTCTGTTCCTTAAGAGCCTAAGAGCTGACCCTTTAACCACAGGGTGTGTAGGCAGTACACTGTGCTGCAGGAGTGTTGGGCCAACCAGCTATGGAAGCACAGGGAGGAGGCCTTTTAAATCGCCTCCTCATCTTCTCTGCCCTACTCCCATCTCACTAACCCCTCCTTGCCTGTTGGTTGGACTCTCAAGAACAATGACCAGTACTAGATGTGTAAAAGGATACTGGTAAGTTTGCTGTAGAACTGTGTAAGTCCACGAAGCCATCACCTTTCTCAGTTGGATTCCTGAACAGAATTAACCCTGATGCCCTAAGACAGCCATAGAATACAACAAATTACTTTCTTCTCTTCTACAGTGCTACGAGCTTTTTGCCATCATTGGGAGGCATTGAGAAAAGCACTCCAATAATTCTCTCTGGATTTGTGGTTCAAATGAGGAGGTCTGGTTGGAAAAGGCTACTAGAGAGGAAAACTTAGTGGGAAAAGGAAAGGAAAATGAACATTTACTGAGCATTTTCTATATGCCAGGTATAGGACTGATAATCTACATATGAAAACAGACTGAGAGGGACTGTAACTTGCTTACGATTGCCCATGAGACCATGTTTGAAGAAAGCTTCAAGCCAGGCTTGATGTGACTTGATGGGAACGTGTTGCTAGGTGTGGAGTGGCTGTTCCAGGTCTAGTGAGGAAGGTCAGTGTACTGGTTTGGTTGTCATACAGAAATAGTGTTGTAGCTAATCACATGCTCACTGTTGTTATTCAGCAGTCACAAATGGGGATGTGCCAGTTTCTCCATTTGCAAAGCAAGGAAATTAAAATCAATGGTCTGACGTCTTTTCCAATAACCTAAAATCCCATGACTGTAGTCTAAGGTATTGATTTGGGCTGGGCACTCCCCACTGAGTTGGCATTTTGGCGTATTGTTTTTCTGTTTGAGTGGACTTCAGGCTCTATGACGAAGCACGTGTGTGTTTAATTGAACTGTGTTTATCTCTTAAGGAAGACTGAAAATTACCAGTAAGGGATCCCTAGAAAAACTTAATTATTGTTGTGTGATTTTTGTGGTGGAGCCTATTGCTACACATTTTTGGAGCTCCCAGCAAGAACACAAAGGGTTCTGAGGTCTGAGGTGGCAGTTTACAGGCAGGGCAGGGAATTAGGCAGGGAAACCAGGTAGGACCCATGGGCTCCTCATTTCCAACAGACTCCTTGAATTTTAAATGTCAACATTTTCCACTGAAATGTCATTCATTCTGCTGTGGAGACGACTTTCCTGAAAGGCAGAATTAGAAAATGAGATGTAGTTGACAGGGTGGAATTTCCATGGCCCTTCTTTCTGCCTCACTGTTCTCATTTTCCCCCAAGCATGGTAGCCTTCAGAACCCTCAGCTAGCACCCTGCTGTTACTGCTGTTACTTGGCTAAGGCTTTTAAAATTTACGTTGTGGGTGTTTCATCTGACAATCTTAATTTCCAGTCTGGGCTTTCTGGGGTTGATGGTTTTCACTACCTGGTCAAAGTCATAGGATTTCTTCTTGGGAGAGAACCCAAGCTACCTCCACATTCTTCCGCAAGACCCTGAGGCAAGTATCTGGCTCAGGTGGGCATCAGGCTTATGAGCAGACTAAGTCTGTCTTTCATTCAGATGTTTATTTAATACCTATTCTAGGCACAGTACTAGGCACTAGTGATAAATGAATTATACAGGTTTCTTGTCAGCACGGTGAGAAACAGGCAGTGACAATCCATTAGTGCAAGTGTTCTGATGGAGGTAAACCCAGCAGGATGATATGTCAGGGGTGCTCAAGCCACTTTCACCCTATGGTTTGCTAGAAGGACTCACAGAGCTTGACAATGCTGTCACCCTCTTGGTTCTGCTTTTTTACAGTGAGAAGATACAAATTTAAAATCAGGAAAGGGAAAAGGAATGAAGGGCAGGATTTGGGAGATACCAGGCCCAAACTTGTAGGCGTGCCCCTCCCCTGCATTCACACAAACTATGCTTAATTCACACAGCAATACCTTGTGACAACATGTGAAGAATTGTCACCCAGAAAAGTTCCCCAAGCTTAGGTAACCAGGTTTTTTATTGGAGGTTAGTTATTTAAGCATGTAGCACCCACCAGACTGACTCAGTCTCCATCCCTCAAGACGTCACACTGAAACGGGGTAGCTCAAGACCCCCACCATAAATCACATTGTTTGCATAAAGTATCTGGCAGGGCCCAAGGACCCAGATGTACAAAAAACAGGATATCCCAAGGACTCCAAAGTAATCTCCTATGATTTGGTCAAGGGTCAGTTCTTGGAATGTGTAGGGTTTGACTATTCCCAAAACTTTCCTGCATAGAATCTTAAAAGAGGTTGCTATTATGGGGGCTAGTCCAGAGAAACACTTTGGCAGAAGGAGGTATGGCCTGGGGTATGCATTTTGCTGTATTAAGGAGTAGAAAGCACTTAAAGAGAGAAAACCAATGTATAAAGATGCATAAGGATTACAGAGGAAAGAAGCCTGTGGTGCTGAGCACTGGTGCTGGGGTATCACAGGTGATTTGGGGGTATAGCAGTTGCAGGTAGCATGGTATAATGAGCCCAGTGAAAGGGGAAGC